TAGGGAAAATGATGTGTACTTGGGCAACTGCTTTCAAAATCGATTTGTTGTTTTGTAGTCAACCACTGTGACGCGCACTTAGAGTCTGTTTTGAGGGAGTGTTTCTCCTACCCCTGGGCTGGTGCAGTGATGAGAGAAGATGCCTTGTAGCTTGCCTCACCTGAGCAGGGGAGTTGCACACTGAGAACCTGAGACATCAGCTGTTGTCTGTTGCCTCTGGGTTTCTCTGCTTGAGAAACATATGGTGGTGGTCTTTACAGACATTAATTGCAAAGGACATCTCACTCTACAGCAACAAAACAACCATTTTTATTCTTTTATATGGCGATAGTGGAGTTGTAAAAGTACAAATGAAGTTACTGTGTCTAACCAGACACAGACTACTCAGTAAAGCTGATACAATTTTCATTTTCCTACCTGAGAGCAGCAGAAACTGTAGGCTGAACCCATCCTATATTACAGTGTTTGGGAAGTCACAGTGTTCCTGATTACCTTTTTATTTAATTTCTTTTCATGGTCCCTTACCTCTGTGTAAAGGGAGGAAATAGCACAGTCATGACTTATCTGAATAGCATTAGATCAAGAGTTAGACCAAACTCCAGTCCCATCACAGACCAGGATGTACAGGATTACATTACAGATACAAATGTGTCTCAGGGTTGAAAAAATGCCTTTAAATCTCATATGGAACTGTCTGTCTGTACAGTCAGTCTGTTTTCCTGTATTGGCTCCCTTGATGTTAGGTCCAGGTCTCCTTCTACACTGATGTCTTCTGTTTTTTCCTGAAATCCTCTTCACTGGCAGTGGTGTCTGTAAGATGATATTGGGCATCTGGTTCCTGTACTGGGAACTGTGAATATGTGAAAATTGTAAGATCCATCCACTCCATCAACACCGTGGCCAGAAACCTGCATTAGTCTGGTGTTTCTTTATGTAAAACACATAAGGTGTGATTTGAATGGGTAGCACAGTAATTCCCAGCATAGGTGTGATACATGCCAGACTAATTATTCCACTCCCAAAGAGTGTCCACATAGGGATTAGGTACAGGGTGAGTCGACTACCTTAATTTTATTTATTTGTTTATTACATCACAGCACAAGTCAGTGGCCTTACTGCTTTTGTTGCAATTCACAGAAAGATCCAACATTTGCCAAGCAGCTTTTCAGCAGTTTGTTTGGTGGAATTTTTCATGAGATAGAAAAATCTAAAACTCCTTCTGAGAAAAAAGGCATCATCCAGAAGCTGCTGTACAACTTCAATAATTTCCTGGGGATGAGCATGACTTACTTCCCGCCATTCATTGCCTGCGTCCAGGTAAATCCTACTATATGGTATGAAAGTAAATGAGTATAATATCTTTGTTTCAATGTCTGATGAACTCATTATTAGTGAAGGTTGAATGCTGTTACTGGAATTCAGAAAGAAATGCAAAGAGAATTGTTAACCAAAAGAATATTCCAAGTGACGCTTCTTAAGGTGAGCATGAGAGCCCCAAAGCCTAGAGGTCCAGGGACACTGTGGCTGCCAAAGGCATGGGAAGGGGAGCACGGCACTGCCCCAAGATTGATCCTGCACACCTTTCTCATCTGGGCCACCTATGGTGCTGGGCACGTCAGCCGTAGGTCTCGGCTCCC